AAAAAAAAACTATGAATTCAAAATAAATTTACCTAACTGTTATTGCTATTGTTGTATTACATTTTAGTTGATGTCTACAATTCACTCAAGTGCCAGTAACTTTATTTCTACTGAGGTTTAGATGAGGCTGATTAGGCCTGTGTAGCAGATGTACATGCCAACATGACGAGAAAAGTATAATAAAATAAAGAAAAATTGGAAAATGACTAATAACTAACTTTCTAACTGCTCTAATTAAATAAACAATTCCATTTAATGAGAACGACTTTAAAACAGTCACAGCTAAGTGGAACAACATATCTAGAGTGTAAATCAAGTGCTAAAATCAATACATACCGACAAAATAGGGATTTCGGAAATTAGACATGAAGCACCTTGTAACATTTTAATCGTGTCAGTTGTGTGAGTGAGACACGGTTCTCGAAGTCAAATCCCAATTTATTCAATTATAGCAAATTGTCAGAATAATGAAGATTATGCCAAACCGTCACTGTCACATCTGCTGAAGTTAAATTCATTTTTTTCATTCACTCTGTAATGGAGGGTGCTACCTAACGAACTGACTAGGGACACGCAAAACATTGCGAGAAACGAATTAAAGTGCAAATTACGTGTAGTGAATTTCCGAGAAATATGCTCTGTTAGGAAAACGAATTCGGGTGCCTTATTCCTTTACCTCTATATCTATTCGTTCCTCTGGCAGGTTAAATTCTAGAATATTTCTTAGATTTTTGGCAGTTTTTTATTGTGATTACTAAATCAAATTTTCCTGCTTTAGATTTCAAATATAGTAACTTTTAAGGTAATCTTTTCTGCTTTTCTATGGATTCCTCATCGATCATTGATCTGATAAATGAAAACTAAGATAAAAATACTCGCTATAATAGAGTGATGGAAGTAAACTAGTAAAAGATGAAGTTTGCAAACGATGTTTAATGAGAGTTTAGTTCTGTTCAGTTCCGTAAGGAAAATAAAGTGAGTTCCTCTTTCCTGCATTAATAATAATTTGCCGTGGGCTCCAACAGATCACGACTCAAAATGAGTTCTAACACGATACCTGGTATTCGTGAGAAGACGGCGGTTAGATCACATACACACATTGCCCGCTAATGCTCAATATAACGATTACTGTATTTACAACTGCAGCGGCAACCAACACAGTAAAGTACCTACGCTTGTCGCGGTAAAGGTAACGAATCTGATCCAACCGACGCGTCGGCCGACACACTACCGACACACCACCGATGCTGTACAAACAGCCGCTGTCGAACCTGG